GAAACATCAGCTAAAATAATTTTTCCCTTTGTCTTTATTCATAGTCTTTTACAGATACATTTTTTAGTTATATCTGAATTAATATTGTCTTTTACAGATATACTAGCAGTAGAGCCCGGCATTGCCCGGGGATATAACAGTAAGAGATAGATCAAGTATCCACCATCATAAAGACTGAAAAATAAAATTGACAAAGATTATTGTTTAAGGTTGACGGACACGCATGTTTTAATTAGTTTTTTTTTTTTTTTACAAATTGGTCAAACCCAAACAAAAACATTGTTTTCAATCGTTATGAGTCTCCTGATTGAATAGAATAATTTTATAAACAATTGTCTTGTAAATGGAATTTTTAAAGCATTCTGAATGTAAAAATAAAGAAAAAAGTGTGCAAGACAATAAGAAACACTACATGTCAAAAAAAAAAAAAAAAAAAAAAGGTGAAGTTTTGTTGAAATCGGTTGAAAAATGTAGGTTGCCTTTCTGTAATCTTTTAGTTTTACAATTTATGATTTTTACTTATTGAATACAGTAAAAAAAAATTGCATATTTTGCTTGTGGTGATTCATAATTAGAATTCTGATTTGAATATATTTTCCACTCGTTTCTAATACAAAAAATATTAACTTTATTTGGGTTTATTAATTATGATCTAACAAATCTTATTCATTTAGTAGCCTTTCTGTAATAATAATCTTTTACAATTTATGATTTTTACTTATTGAATACAGTAAAAAAATTGACACCATGTAGTTTCCCGTTCCGGTTATATTTAGTTAGGACTTGTGTATGTTTAGATTTCATTATCTTTCCCTAAAGATAAAGAATTTATTCCGATGTTTGTATTTGTACAATCAGTAGAGATCGTTAGATTATTGTTTAAGGTTGACGGACACGCATGTCTTAATTAGTTTTTTTTTTTTTTTTTAGGAATTGGTCAAACCCAAACTCAAACATTGTTTTCAATCGTTATGAGTCTCCCAATTGAATAGAATTTTATTATAAATAATTGTCTTGTAAATGAAATTTTTAAAGCATTCTGAATGTTAAAAATAAAGAAATAAGTGTGCAAGAGAATAAGAAACACTACCTGCCAAAAAAAAAAAAAAAAAAAAAAAAAAAAGTGAAGTTTTGTTTTATCAGCTGAAAAATATAGGAAATCCGCTCCCATATTTAAAGGAACCCACACAAACAACCCGATGTGAGTTGTCCCCCTTCCATTTTCACGATGTCTCTTAATCGTGTTTTCAAATTGATTTTGTGCAAAAAACAATTATATTTTTCCCATTTTTGGCGCTGTTAGAACCACCACAAGGTAATTTTATGTAGTCCTGTGGAGTTTTGTTGAAATCGGTTGAAAAATGTAGGAAATTCGATCCAATATATAAACGTTACAGACACACACACACACACACAATAATGTTTTATAATAAGTAAGATATATATATATATTTTTTTTTTTTTTTTTTAACACAAAAACTAGTCCACAACATTGAATGCAATCAAAGTCAAATTTTGTATCAGTGACTTCTATATGGAGGCCTTAAAGTCTAGAGATTATTCCCCTCTCTCCCTCTGAGCTAAGCAGGCCACTGATCCCATTTTTTATAGAAAAATCTATTTGACCTATAAATAGGACCTAAACTGGTACTCTGGATCAGAGTGAAACTGATAGAACTGCATTCTTTACAATTCAAAAACTCCCAAGCTGACACCTCACAAATGAATGCAAGACAAAATCATGGCAGAGATACCTAGTATTGTGTATGACTATCTCCAGCCAGTAAGGTGGGGCAACACAATGTGCCATCAATGCTTCAAAAGGTTGGAAGAGATGATGAGCCATGCCAGTGCAAATAGATCTCTCAACTACACCTCATCTCATAAATGCTCACACCACTCATTGGAATTCTCAAATCAGTTCTGGGCAACTGCAATCTGATGAAATGGTGCATTATTCTAATGGAGAAACTCATGGTAGATGGAATCCATGGAGAGATACAAATAGTCATAAAACAGTGCAACATAGTATTCACTATATGTTTAGGTTGACAACTTCTCACCAATGGAATACAGAGGGAATGTGGGCAGTTACTACAATGTAAGTGGCACGGTAGGTCCTAGCCATAAAAGTTAGAACTGGTGGAACAAAAGAATGTACTTTGTCTGAGAATTTTCCATGGAAGTAGCGGCAGAGCAATGAGAGGCTTGCCACATCCCACCTGTGAGAGAGATTGGAGGGTGGAAAATAATTAGTCACCTACAAAAACTTTGAGATGCTTTTGAACTCTGAGACTGAAAAGTGAGGATTGAGCAGCTCCTGCCCAAATATGACAACAGTACTCCATTTTTGGCATGATCTGGCTCTTGTAAAAGTAGAGGACAGCAGTCTGGTACTTACTAGAGTGGTACAGGAAGTCAACCATTTTACCTGCAATACTTTAGCAATAGATCATATATACAAGTTCCACTTGAGCTCAGGTGTAAACCCAATAGTCTCTCAAGGCACAGTATAGCATCATGAAGTTTGCATTACAGTTAAATCTTACCATCAGCCCCAAACCACTGGAACCATCACTCATTGGATTACACCATATATTATTAGTCCTCCAGAATCCAATTAGAAAGAAGCCCAGGTAAAGTGCTATGTCTGATATTGTGGCTTTAACAAGGGCACCTCATTGGATCTTCTGCTCCTATATCCCAAGGAAACTAAAGAATGCTGAACTAACTTGTGTATAGGTCTGGCACTTCCTGTATTGAATATGAATATGATCTGAGTCAGTATTGCTCATCTTTTACTGCAGACAATTCTATCCAGGTATCTCCAGTCACAATCATTAAGGATCTGTGGTTGGTTGATTAAACTTTCAACAGAATATGTTTAGAGATGAACAGATAGAGACTGAAATCTTAAAGCCAATTCTGATTTTCTAATGAAAGTGGATTCACATCACTTCCATGAATTATTCTGGGTAAACATATAACAGTTTAAATCAAGGAATGTCAAATCTCACCACAATTTCAAAAATGGAAAGTCCCATACAACTTTTTGCATTCACACTGCTTTGCCTGCCAGTGTTCACACCGACTCAAAAAAAAAAAAAAAAAAAAAATAATAATTGTATAAAGTCAACAGATTTTACAATAAAAAAATCTGGTCTACTCTGGGTCCTCTTAGTAATTATGCCATAGCCTCAAAACCATGCCCAAACCCAAGGTCATTTGATGAGGGCTTTGTTGATAACAATTTTGTTATTGCAGCAATCACTATATGAATTTATATAGACATGTATAATAACTGGCTACTCTCATTTTCCAAGGACACCCATCTGATAAGGCAGCTAACCAATCCTTGTTGCAGACAGCTGCTCAAACACTTTTGTGTTTGTTCAACACCCACAAAGCCTACATGTGGTTTATACTCCATGTGGAGCAGACCTTAGTTACATTTCTGGGAGATAGTAACATAATCTATTGTGATCAGAACTTAGAACAACACCAGTATGCTCAAACATCAGTCATGATGACTTGTGACTTTGTGCTAGCATAACCATTGATAACTTCCAAACAGTTCTGCCAACCCAATTTCACTCACAAAACTTGGGTCAATGCATGGCCACTTTAAAAAGGTACCATATGATGGGACTGCTTAAAAGGCCAATAAGAAAGTCACCTAAATGACAAACTTTTTCCATGAATCCTAATGGCCTGTTAAGAATTTCAATTTTTCCATTTTATATAAACAAAAAACAAACACACACAGGGTGAGTAAAATATGTAATACTTCTATACATTTAACTTTATATCAGAAAAGAACTTTTATTGAATCATCAACAGAATATGTTCAGAGATAAACAGATAGAGACTGTTTGAAATCTTAAAGCCAATTCTGATTTTTTAATGAAAGTGAATAAGATGTAATTAATAAAAAAAAAATAGTGCAGTTCTACTAAAATCCAGTGAGCTCTTATTTTTAAATAATATATTTCTACATTATCAAAACATTTCAAAAAATATTTTAAATTAAAAAAAAAAAAAAAAAAAAATATGAGTAGCATTATTTTTTTTCATAAACCTACAATAGATTTTAACAAGGTCAAAATGTTGCTTAAAGCATAAATAAAATTAGTACTTTTTTATATTATAATTTGAAAATTCAAATTCAAAGCATTAACTCTCAGTGGGTAATTTAAAAAAAAAGAAATAAGTAAATTATTTTGTTATGTTTTATAAGTTCAGTTATTTTGTCATGTTTTATTATTATTTTTAATATTTAAACATGTAGTTTACAACATATCTATCAAGATGTCAAACTGAAAGAGGTTACTTACATAAAAATATTTGCACTATTTTTATTATAAGGTTCTTCAATCAATGAACAAATACTAAGTTTTAGTGAAATTCATTAATTACTCGATTTTCCAATTAACTTTCAGTGTTTTTTTTCTTGATAAAACAGTAATAAACACATTTCAGAAAAGAATGTGTTAATTTCTATATAATGTTAGTAAATAATTCATGTAATCTAAAAATTTTTTTCCATTCTTTTTAATAATATAAATTTTATGAAAATTGGTTAAACATTTCCACTTTTTTTTTTTTTGACACTCATAGTCAGTAAATGGTGGTCCCGATGAAGGCTGACAATAAGCATAAAGTTTTAGTCATTACTGCCTGAGTGGTGCTTTCAAGAGAGTGGTTGATTAGGTAAGTAATGATGAAACCTGGCATTTAAGGTATGTTAAATTTAGATATTTTACATCAATCCTGAATCTAATAAGACAAGCCCCCTAGATTTTAAACTCTCAAGCTTATTTTTTTAAATTCTTTTTAAGACAAATACATGTAGCATTTGATTCATTGGATTAATGAGAAAGTTTCATGCAGAAAATCTAAAATTTTAATGATCATGTCTTTTTAAATACATCATAATTCATTTTTCATGAAATGGAAAATTTCGTTATCCACATTTAGTACAGATGTTAAATTATACTTACTTTCATTTGCCAAATTTCAAGATGCCCTTCACTAGTGGCAATCAATAAATTTGTTCCATTTCTATCCCACACTAGGCTGACTACTTGACTCGGCAGTGTTGCTACTTTGTAAATAACCCATGGTTTGTCCAGGTCCAGAATCTGAACCTGTGTTGTACTGATTGCTTCACATTCCTCTCTGTCAGGAAAGAACAAAACAACAACAAAAAAGTTATACAGATCTAGTGTGTGTTCAAATCAGTTTTGCAGCTATAAAATACATTCATGTTTCAAATATCTTGTGAGTGAAATGAGAAAAAGAAAGAGTGAATCAATGTATTGCTTAAACATTATCACCATAAACAATATATATTTGTAGCTGTAAACAACTATAAATATATATTTTTTAAAGTCCTTGACACTTATAGCTATGAAAATAAAATAAAATTTTATGAGAATTTATTCAAAATTATGACAAAATCATTTGTAGATCATGACAATTCTAAACATTATCTATGTGGAAAAATTAGTTTCATAAGATATAAATTGTGTTCAGAATAATAGATAAAGTAACTAAATATATTGTTAATGTAGGTACCTCCACGAAATCGCTAAAAAAAGAGCATAGCTTGATGAAAAAGACGCCAACCTTGCCGAAAACAAAATTTTATTGTCTAAATGCTTATGTTATTATTTAGAGGAAAGACCAAAGTTTTTTTTTAATTATTTTTTTAAAAATTTTCCTTCTTTTTTAGAAAATTCTAAATTTTGATTAAAAAAACCTTGTTTCTATTTGTATCAGCGGAACTAGTAAATAACATAGACAATTTTTAGCACGTTTTTTTGGTATGACACACATTAATTTGAAAAATCGTTCAAAAATAGAAATAATTATCGGATGTTAATGAAACTTTCAGGAACTATTCACAGATGATCAAAATTATTATAAATATGTTTTTTTTTTATGAAAGTCATGGTAGAAATATTTTAAAAAATATTTATTACCCCCCCCCCATAACTAATTTTATGAAAACGCTAGAAATTCGATCGCATCGGTTTTAGTGATTACAATAATTAAAAGCACAGGGCTTTGAGGAATGCAAATCATGTTTTTTTTTGTTTTTAATTGGATACCCAGTACCTGAAAATCAGCTCTGAATTGTAACATACAAAACTCAATAAAACAAAGATATTATTTAATTTCAAATGCTTTTATTTGCTTTTAGTTGTTTTTATGAATATGGACAATATTTTCTGAAAGCAAAAACATTTTTTCGATGAAAAATGAATTTTTAATACAATTATTTGTTATTTCATTAATTATAATACATTTTACATTTAAGTTGTTAAAATATTATAAAATTAGTTAAAAAGTCACACAGGCTTTCATAAGTGTCCTTATGAGATAGATCTTTTTTTAGTGCGTTGTAAATTGTATCATTTTGACTAATCAGAAGATCCCCAGTAATTAAGAAATGTAATTTTGTGCTTATAATCGAGCTGTAATTATAAAATACGGAAGACCAACCAGAATATAATTGTTGCGTTATTTGAGTTAAGCATTGTTCTCCGCTGTTAAGGCCTTTACTTTTTTATGAAACACGTGTGGAGAAGTTAATTTGATTTTTCAATTTCAACTGAGAAGGTTACCTACAAGTATCAGTATCATCTTATGAAATTTATATGATCTTATTTTTTTATATTAATCTCAGTTACATTTTTCCATAAATGAAATATCAAAATTAATAATAAAATGAATGCAAATACAAATAACAGTAGAATGTAATAAATGTACATAAAATTATAGTATTTTATGTACAATTCTGATAAAATTTCATAAGAAAGGTAATTTATAAATTAATTAGATACCTTTCTTAAGAAATATGAAATTTAATGTCACTCTTAACAGTTTTATTTTAATTTCTTTAGAATATATTTCCCATAAAGCATCATAAACGTAAAGGTGAAAGTTAAGTACAAAAAAAAAAAAAAAAATTAGACCGCTGAAAGTTTTTTGTTAAAAATAATGGGTAAATAATTTGTTCACGTAAATGTAAATTATTTCACTTTTCTCCTTCAGAGAACAAATTAGCCTAATGGAATTGTAAATATATCATTCATCACATGTCAAGAGACGCGTAAAGTTTATGACCTGCTTTGTTTTATTTTCAAATTACATCTTTTTTGGCACAAAAGCTAAGTTAAGTTTGGTTCAAAATATTTTAAATAAACATTATAATTTCTGATTTTCTTAAAATCAGTTTTGAAAAATGATAATTGATATTTAAAAAATTTCAAAGTCAGATTTCCAGTTTTTTTAAAATGGAAAAAAATGGTCAATTTTGCTGACTCAAAAAAAACTAGATTTTTAACGAAAATTTCGGACGATGCTAGGAACGATTAAAAAATGGAAAAAAATACCCCAAAAAATACTTTTGACCTTTCCTCTTTAATGAATAACAAACATTTAGACGATAAAATTTTGTTTTCGTCAAGTTTGGCGTCTTTTTCATCATGCTATGCTCTTTTTTTAGCGATCTCGTGGAGGTACCTATGTTAATGTAGAGCATCACTTGCCAATGAAAAAAACAATGACAAAGAATATTTTCTAATTGTCCAAATTTTTATAAACCATCTTAAGTATTGTTAATTTGTCTCTTGTACTGAAGAAGAGATTTCACAAAAGATCTGGTTACAAAATCTTTGTGTCCTTCAGACTGCCTACAAACACAATTTCACTCTACAAAACAAGTGAAAATAACAGCAACACCACTATCACTTTTTTTGGTGGTCTCCAAACTACATACTTCATATCTGAATCTCAAAGGTTATTCAGCCAACATCAAAAAGTAACAGAACTCAACTTAAGCTTTAAAAAAAAAAAAAAAAAAAAAAAAAAAAAAAAAAAAAAAAAAAAAAAAAAAAGAAAAAAAAAAAAAAAGAAGTACCAATAAAGACTTTAAATCGATTTGTTATAATTATGTCATTTAATTTTTTACTAATTCTCATCTTCAAGTAGTGGAAAGGTTGATTTTTCATTTTCTATGGATTATCAACCCTTTGTAGTTTACTTTTTTCGATTGTAAGATTTTTTTTGAGATAATGGTTTAGTGATACAAGTCTTACTAATTAACCCATAGCTGGAGATAGAAGAGTTGGATTCATACCTTTCTCGAGGGTATTTGCACATAAGTGAATATAACAAACCCAATGAATTGAAATTCGGCTCTCCAATTCACAATTGCTGAGCCATTATTCATTATTCCACCCACATATCCAAGCTTACAGCACCTATTATTACCAAGTGAAATAATAAAAAGGTGATAATTTCTCAGTTACTTATTTGCAACAATTTTCAGCCTTCATTTCTGTTTAATATATACAATAACCAGATAGAAGATGCATATTCTTTAAAAAAAAAAAAAAAACTTTCTTTGCACAAACACCTATACCCATACATTCATTTAATGTCAGTTATAATGCTTATTAATAGCTACATTTGTTAATGACAAGGCATGTGTTTTTGTAAATTTTAACTTCTTGTCAAGATATGCTTCAAAACTGCCAATATTCATTTATCTGATTAGAGTAGTGAAAACCAGCTTTTAATTTGTTTCAATCTATTTCTAATTACAGAGCTTAGATGTTCCTTAACTCTGATTCCTGTCAATCATACAACACAGATTTTAAAAATAAAAATTGCCACGTAGACAAACTATAGAACTAATGATATTCCAAATTTGATCATGTTTTGCAAATGAATATAAACTGCAGTTTTATGCAACTATTGTCCTCATCAAAATCCCTATGGATCTGAATCGGCAATGCTGAAATTCTTTGAGTTAAGAGTGTATCTGAACTATTTTATGGAATATATTAGTACACTTTTCAAACAAAATAGCATTTTATCCAGAATACCCAGGTAGTTTATATTCAATGCAGAAAGAGTTTTACTTCTAATTGGGCTAAGTTTGCATGCTGATTGAAAAAGAGATGGATAGAAAAGGTTTCCAAACAACATAGAATATTTAGAAAGTCTTCATTTAAACATAGGTACCTCCATGAGATCGCTAAAAAAGAGCATAATGAAAAAGATGCCAAACTTGACGAAAACAAAATTTTATCATCTAAATGCTTATGTTATTATTAAGAGGAAAGATCAAAGTTTATTTTATGTATTTTTTAAAATTTTCCTTCTTTTTAGAACATTCTAAATTTTGATTAAAAAAAAAAAAAAAAAACTTGTTTCTCTTTGTATCACTAGAACTAGTAAAATAGCATATACAATTTTTAGCACATTTTTTTTTTTGTATGACACACATTAATTTGGAAAACCTTGCAAAAATAAAAATAATTGTCAGATTTTAATGAAACTTTCAGAAACTATTCACAGTTGATGGAAATTATTATGTTTTTTTTTTTTATTAAAGTCATGGCAGAAATTTTTTTTTAAATTTATACCCCCCCTAACTAATTTTATGAAAACGCTAGAAATTTGATCGCATCAGGTTTAGTGATTACAATAGTTAAAAGCACAAGGCTTTGAGGAATGCAAATTTTTTTTTTTTTTTTAATTGGACCCCCCTACCTGAAAATCAGCTCTTGAATTGTAACATACAAAACTCAATAAAACAAATATATTTAATTTCAAATGCTTTTATTTGCTTTTAGTTGTTTTTATGAATATGGACAATATTTTCTGAAAGCAAAAAAAAAAAAATTGATGAAAAATGAATTTTTAATACAATTATTTGTAATTTTTTAATTATAATAGATTTTTTACATTTATGTTGTTAAGATATTATAAAATTAGTTAAAAAGTTTAATCGGGTTTCCTACGTGTCCTTATGAGATAGACTTTTTTTTTTAGCGTGTTGTAAATTGTATCATTTTGACTAATCAGAAGATCCGCAGTAATCAAGAAATGTAATTTTGTGTTTATAATCGGGCTGTAATTATAAAAAGTATGGAAGACCAACCAGAATACAATTAAGTTGCTTTATTTGAGTTAAGCATTGTTCTCCGCTGTTAAGGCCCTTACTTTTTTATGTAAACACGTGTGGAGAAGTTAATTTGATTTTTTCAATTTCAACTGAGAAGGGTACCTACAAGTATCAGTATCGTCTTATGAAATTTATATGATCTTATTTTTATATTAATCTCAGTTATGACATTTTTCCATAAATGAAATATCAAAATTAATAATAAAATGAATGGAAATACAAATAACACAGTAAAATCTACTAAATGTACATAAAATAATAGTATTTTATGTACACTTCCGATAAAATTTCATAAGAAAGGTACCTATAAAATAATTAGATACCTTTCTTATGAAATACGAAATTTAATGTCACTCTTAACAGTCTTATTTTAATTTCTTTATAATATATTTTCCATAAAGCATCTAAGCATAAAGGTGAAAGTACAAAAAAAAAAAAAAAATAGAATGCTGAAAGTTTTCCTCAAAAATAAAGAGGTAAATAATTTGTCCATTTAGATGTAATTAATTTCACTTTTCTCCTTCCGTAGAACAAATTATCCTCAATATGTCATTCATCACCTGTAAAGTGACGTGAAAGTTTATTTTCAAATTACATCTTTTCGGCGCAGAAGCTAAGTTAAGTTTGGTTCAAAATATTTTAAATAAACATAATTTCTGATTTTCTTAAAATATGTTTTGAAAAAATGATAATTGACATTTAAAAGAATTTCAAAGTGAGATTTTGATTTTTTTTATAAAATGGAAATAATGGTTGAAATCTGTCAATTTTGCTGACATTTTGATATATAACAAAAATTTTGGATGTTCTCGGAATGATTAAAAAAATCTAAAAAAATACCCCCAAAATACTTTGATCTTTCTTTATAATAATAACAAACATTTAGACGATAAAATTTTGTTTTCATCAAGTTTGGCGTCTTTTTCATTATGATATGCTCTTTTTTTTATCGATCTCGTAGAGGTACCTATTTAAACAGCATTAAATAGAATGGACATGAACTGTCTTTAGCCTTTGGGGAGTTTCTACTGGTATTGGTTAAGATGTTTAATCTCAAGTAGAAACTTGTAAAGGAAGTTACCTAAATTGGGAGTAATCTTTTGAGTGCTTTTGACTATCTACTTTTTTTTTTTTTTTTTGGAATATGACCAGCAATGGTTGAAAGTACTTGGAACACTTCTGGTTCACACTCTTCTCCAGTCTTTTGAACAGTAGAGGTTTATCCCCTGTTCAAGATTGAGTTTCCAGTTCCTTTTAAAGTATTTTCATTCTCTTTCACTCCTAGTAGCTCCTTGCATCTTAGTGACATTATTACCTTGCTTGGGGTGAATTGATCATTTTTTTTTTTTTTTTCTTTTTAAATTTTTACACAATTTTATCAAGTTTCCACCTGACATCAAACAACATATTTGCCACCAGAAGCTCACCAAAAGGTTCAGACATTTGTCATCATTTCTATTTAATATATATGCCTGCAGATAAATTGTATACAAAATTGACTAAGAAACCAATAATTTATCCTGCCTAAATCAATGCTAGCTTTTGAGCATAATCAAATAAACAAAAGTAAGAAAGTCTCATATATTTAGCAACTTGGTGCATGCTATGACAAGGTAAATCTGTCCTGCTAACAGAGTTGATTTGTTTAATGGCATAGCAACTCCTTAATGCCAAAATTTAATTTTCTTGAGAGCTTTGAAGTAATAAAAATATTATTCTGCTTTCACAATACATTGTAGATAATACTCAGCTTTTGTGCAGATACAAGGTTGTGTGGACATAATTACTAGAGGTAGTGATACATGTTTTATCTTGTAGTTTGTTTTAAGTTATATTTTGGAATAAAGTTTGATTTAAGAAATTGTAGAATATTATATGGATTAATGTCATGAAAAATTTCATTCAAAATCTAAATAATTTGGACAAACTCTTATGGCTCCAACTAAATACATTTTGAATGCAATTGTAGGTCTTCAACTATAGATAAAATGTATTACTGGTCATGTACTGTCAGTCTTTCATATAAAAATGTATTGCTGGTATTTTTACTATTAAAATGTATTTTTATACTTTTGTAGTGTTTTTGTTGTGGTGGGAACTCACTATATACCCATAGCTGCAAGCACCCCGGGTCAGGGTGGAACTGGGAACAACAGCAATTAAGATGGGGTTCCAGGCTTCTCAAAATTTCCAAGCCCACATCAGAGTCCTTGCTGCCAGATGTAGTTTATCATCCCCAGGACTGTTCTACTAACAGTGCCAATATTCAACAGCTTATACTATTAAGTATATAGAGATTGAAAGAATTTTATTTTTAATAAATCTGTGGATACACTGATATCATACACTATTTTGGATCACATTAAGAACCATGGCATAAGAAATAATGACATACAATAAGTTGGTAAACTTTATCTGTTGAAGGTACCATACAGTTTTTCATTACCAATTTTGTTATTTATTATCAATAATTGGTAAATATTTTTTCAAGCTTGATCCTACCTTAGAGTTGCTTTTACAAATCTCCAGCAAAGTTTTCATCTTAAGAAGTACTACTCAAGTAAAGCCTGATAAAATTTGCTGAAAAAATAACAAATCTATTCTGTACAATCTTCATATCTCAATATATTATAAATGTTTATTGAATTTATTTCATACCCAACTAAGTTGTTGTATCACCAACTTCTCTACCAGTGTCAATTATTAGTGTTTAAAAGATTAAGGCAAAAAGTAGCTGCTAGAATGTATTAATTCAAATTGTTTAGAACTTACTATATTTTATTCACAAGTTTGTCATTGAAATTAGATTATTTTACTTAATTTACTTCAGCTGTGAAACTAGTTCTAAAAAGAATGGAATTATTTTATAAAACTATTTGCTTAGATTTAGGCTAGCCAACGAAATTATCAACAAACGTCATTAAAAATATTTTAGAGATTTATTATTTTTAATTTTACAAATATGAACTGCAAAGTAAAGTTTAGAGAAGTGCTTTTTTTTCTGTTACAGAAACGAACGTAATGAAATTTAAACAAGGGTTTGTGCTTAGAAAGAACCAAAATATTGAAATGTGGAAAAAGCAACTTTCTTTTTAAAGTGAAGAAAAGATCGAAAAAGTTGCTTCAGGGAAGAATCTTTTAAAAATACCGACAGTAGTAACTAACACAATAGCAGTGAAGTGAACTATAAAGGATTTTTTTTTTTTTGTTTTTTTTTACACACAATTGGTATAATAATCACAGAAGAAAAAATACCCTAGTACACAATCAGTTTCAATTCAAAAAATTGATAAATTTAAAAAGTAACATAATTGTAAAATAACAATAACCTCATGAACAATAATAAAAATAAAATTAATTCAAGGACTATATAAAAAAAAAATGCTCATTTCAAAACGAATGGCTTTTTGTGTGCGTGCGTCTGAATATTTTTTTGTAAAAAGCAAGGGTATAACAGAAAAATTTAATTCAAAGACAATATAACGTAAAACATACGAAAAATTGAAGATGTTAATAAAGTTTCCTGCCACTAGATATAAAAGCCTACCGCTAAGCAATTAATTGGCCGGTTCGAAAACGGAAGCACTAAAAAGTAAAAAAAGTAAAAGGTAAATGTTTACAAAGATCAACATGCCGGTTCTTAGATCAGCACATATCATGGTGCCATGTGCTTTTTAGGAGATGCTAACGATATAAGAATAAAGGCGAGCCTTTATTAAAAGGTAAAAATAGAAAAACGATTATGTGAATTATGAAAATAGTTATCTGAACTAATAATGAGAAAAAGAAAACTACGAATGCCTGTCAATAACAATGTTGTTTCAGTCTCACTCAACAATATAAGGTGCGAAATAGCAGTTACCTGTCGTCAGACACCGAACTGAAAGCCAAAATATTTCTACTTGATAGACTACAACATATCTCATCATCTGGGCACCAGTCGTAAAGTTCTGAAGAGATTTTAGCTGGATTCTTAATAACATAAAATACTTCCATGTTGCCACTTTCCCCCCCAATAATTGAGATTTCCCTCCCAGAATGCACCAGTTATAAACCAACACTTCCGCTTTGGAAATCGCAACGAAACTACAATAAACAACCAAATGCTAAGGCTACGGATAACAAAAAGGGATATATTTTCTTTTCTTTTTTTATTTATGCTACGCTTTCTTTTTCATTTAGCCAATTTTATTTTTATACTAATAGAAAAAATTGGGAGACTATCATAAAACGATACATAGCAAGCTGCATGGACTTTACTAAAGAAAGCATTTTTCGCTAAAAATGTGTATTGGCTTCGATCCTTACAGAAATAGATGGTTTAGTCTGGCACAAGGCCACCAAAACAAAGTTAAAGAAAAAGTAAAATTGCAGCGAATAAATTATCAAAATTCATTAATAAAAATCAGAAATGCTGCTATGCCAATAACTGTTTTCGGAATCCGACGTAAAATTTTTAAAAATCGTTTTTTTTTAAACAAAAACATTAAAAAAAAAAAAAAAAAAAAGAGGGAAAAGAAAAGTAGTTTTTTTAATGAGTTGGCTTACGTTAAGTCCCGAATAAATAAAGAAGACAGTGCGAAATATGAAATCGGGTTTGGAAAAGTTTCCAAAAGTTAGGTTGGGAAATCAATTTACTTTACTTTAAAAAGAAATTTACTTTAGTCAGTCAGTTATAAAATAAAGGGTTTAGCGACATGCGTATCTCTCGATACATGATTGAGGAGGCAGATTTTTTCCCGCAGTAGGTTGCCATTTCTTTCTGCGGTAGACCAGTTGCCATCCAAGGCTATAGAACTTGGTCTGTCCTTACCCATAGCTAGGGGGAGAAGAAGCGGATTCATACCTTTCCCAAGAGAATATTAGCACGTAAGTGAATGTAATCGATTTGAACGGAATTTGATCACGGCTCTCCAATTCCTCAATCCGAGCCGGTATCCATTACTCCACCGAAAACACTAACCATTGAACCAACATTTTTACTTTCATGATGAGTGTGAATTTAATGATGACATGTACTCTGTCTCTTCTTGTCCACCTTCTTTAGAGTAATTTACAAAGCGTAGCTTAAATATGGCACAAGACAGAGAGGGTGAAGCACCCAATGAAGATCGAACTCACTACTCCGTTGTAATTGATCTAACGGTTAACCATTTTTACACCACGAAGCGGCCCTTATACTTTTTAAGAAGCGTAACTTAGTTGTGTGACACAAGAAGACAACAAGTTTATTTATTTTATTTTTCTTGGTTTTTCATCGTAATTTTTTAAGCAACTCTCTTTTCTTTTAAAAATTTATTTTTTTTAATATCTCATTTTACTTTTCTTTTCTTTTTTAATAAGTTCGTCCCAAGCAAGGCAATGACGCCACTAAGGCGCAAAGGACCACTAGGAGTGAAAGAGAATGAAAAGATTTTAGAAGGAACCAGGAACCCGATCCTAAAACAGGGAACAAAGGATGAACCTCTACTCCTGCTCAAAAGACCGGTGAGGAGTTTGAGCCCAACGACAGGCGAATCTATCTACTCCAATTCAGTAGTGACTTTTGAAATCCGTTTACTTATCTTATTTCGACTTTTTGGTTCGTTTCTCTTTTGTTTTTCTGTAATTGCTGACCAGGTTGATTTATGAGGATACAACTATTTTTTGTTACTTTGTATTATGTTTTTGCAGACACTTTAAGTAAGTTCACTGTCCTTTTGTTAGAAATAAGTACTCAAATTGCCGCCGTAGTCAAGCAGCTCTCTGATATTTGTAAGGAAAGGGGTATTTGTTCTCACGCCCACTAGAACGGAATATCGCATAAGAAGTGTTTAAAAATCAAAGTGGGAATACCACGCGTCATAAGAAAAATGCTCAGTCTGCGTTTGTATTCCTCTTTTGGGATGTCTCAGACATCAGAAATTCTTTCTTCTTATATTTGCTATGTCCCTTCAGGATGTGGGCGATCATGGCTCTCTACAATTTCCTATCCTTTGACGCTCGAAACGTTTTTTTTTTGTTTTTTTGTTTTTTTTTTATTATCTCCCACTCCTTGTTTTGTCATCCATTTACACAAGCTCTTTAGGTAAGTGACTTTGTTTCCCTCTTTCCCTCTTGTTGCCTTTAAACTTTAAAGTGTCAATTCCACCAAACCTCTCTTATTGTGTATCCCAAAAGTTAAAAGTAGGTAGTTCCAAATAAACGTGATGCCTAAAGTATAAAATGAATTTTTAAGAATAAAAAAAAACTTTCTGGAAACTTTTATTTTCGTTTTAATTTCAAGCTAGTGGATTAGTAAACTTAATATTTCCAATAAGCAAAATACTTTGCTCTATTTCAAAAGTAATTTAAATTGACTGGAAGTAGTTGTTGTTCTTTTTAAATCGCTAAAAATCGCTGATTTTAGTGTCATTTTTAGCCACCTGTCAGCACAATGTAATTTCCTTTATTAAAAAAAAATTGTCAAAACGTCCTGAAAATTTCATTAAAATCTGACAATTATTTGATTTTTGAAAGAATTTTCAAATCAATGTGTTTTTCACCGCAAAAACAGTTGCTAAAAATTCCTATACTAATCTTTATTCTCCGTTGACACAAGAAAAACAAAATTTCGAACCAAAATTTCGAACGTTCCAAAAAGAATAAAAAATATAATTTAATAATTAAAAATCCTTTCGTCTTTCCTCTTGATAATAACAAAGATTTTGACGATAAAAGTTTGTTTTTAAGTTTGTGGCATTTTTTTCATAATGTATGCTTATTTTTTTATTTTTTTTAGCGAATCTGAAACTATCTCTTTCTGATTCTAAATATAAGTGTGCTTTTTGTTTCCATTTTCCTTAAAATTTTCTCGTGGACCATCTGCCTCATCCAAGGTATTCTCTGAATTCTGTAGAACCACACCTATTGCCTCAAGTCTCCCCTTCTGTGAGGAAATTGACATATAGGAGGATTGATACTGTGTAGCAGTTCATTACTCTTTTCTTTATTTTTAAAAAACTTTTCGCTCGTTGTCCCCTCCGGCTTTCATCAGGTGTATCCGGGTAACCTACAGGGAAATCTGATTCGAACACTTTATTTAATCTATGGGTGCAAACAGTTTACGTTCCACTGGTCTATGGATATCTGTCCTTATTTACTGCTTATTATTCCCCACGTTTCCACTCTGCCCGGGGATTGAACTCAAAATTACTGTCACTAGCTGCTGTTGAAAACTTGCGTTGCCATTTGTCTTTCTTTCTTTATTAGCGGCTCCCATATAATATTTATTTCTGTGCTAGGTCTCCTAAGGAGGTTCACAGAGCTTAGCATATACACTGATTCTTTCAGACGTCTAATTCCCAGTATTTTCACTTCATTCCACAGGTGCTGATGACTACCTTCCATACATGATCAGTCATTTTATTGTATCACCCTTCGCTACGGCTTTTTGATGTTATCCAGCATTATTTTTGGAGGTGGGGGGATAACCTTTATATTTATTGCCACAACTGCAAGGAATGAAGTACACGCAGTTCTTGGTCATGTTCTCCTCTGTGTTAAGCTTTTTTTTCGACAGAGATTTCTCAGTGGAGTGGAGCAGCTTCTGGATATAGCGCTGATTCTGCATGGACCGCAGATCTTCTGAATCTTTACCGACAACCCCTTGATGTTAGCTTGGCAGATCGGGGCAATTTTGTTTGGTCCTATACTTTGACCCTTCTGTTTCCACCTGCAGGCGCTGATGTTATATTTACATTGTTGTTATTCTGAAGGGTGTGTTTGATGCTGATTATTTCTCGTTGGCATGTGTCTGGATTTTTACCTGGTGGTGCAGGCATCGAACTCACAAACGTTTTTTCTTTTCTTTATTTTTTTTTTCATAAGCAAACTGAAGAGTCGGAACACAACAAAATTCTAGTAGTTTGCTTGTGAGTTTCTAAATCTTTTACATTTTTTTTATAATTTACTGAGGTTGTAATAGATTGCACTAACCACTTTTTTGATTCGTAACATTGCTGAGCTTGTGTGACATTTCCACAACACTATTAATACTGTTTTTCGGATATTCGTAATCTTAAGTATTTATATATTCCTTTATGGAGTAAATCCGACAGAATGATTAAATAAAGAATATGTAGGAAAATCTTTATAAATTTAACATGTTTCGTTATTTATTTAGCTTCATCAGAAATTTTGGAAGTGGAATATAGCCAAGTTTTTTCGATTTTTAAATTCTATCTTTTCATTATTATATATTGTCTATTCCTGTAACCACATCATGCCAGCGGAGTTGGTTCTAGGTAACTCGCTTTGGATAGGTTAATTACCAAATAATCTTTGTCTAATCTTAGACTGAACTTTTCCAGATTCATTTTGGTCTCCCAACGGTTCACTTCATGATATATCTTCTTGTAATGACACAGAAAGCAATTATCTCCCTTTGACAAGAAGAATTTACGACAAACTGGAAACTTCGTACCAGCCCCTCACCTCCCGCCCCACAAAAAACGGAGTATCAAAAGGACGGTTTTTCCATTGACACCGCTATTATTTTAACTACCTTCACTCCTCCGTAATGTTTATTCTTTTAAAAAGCGATGATCAGAATTGTAATAAAACGTAAACAGATGAGAGTGAATTTATACATTTTCTTGGAAAATGTCAACAAAATAATAAACACTATTTGAGTGTTTATTTACACTAATTATTTATTATATTATTTATTGGTATCGTTGGCAAAACATCGGCTAACTGTCAATTGATTCAAATTTTATAAAATAAAAATAGTAAATAATAAAGATTTCCTTATAGTTCGTTCATATTTTAATAATTTAGCAAATGTTTATAAATTTGTGAATAAAAAAATGTTTATTTATTTCTTTACAAATTGCTAAATAATGTTTGTTACTTTAAAAATCAATAATTAGCATTTCCGAGGATAGAAGTAGTTAAAATAATAGCGGTGTCAATGAAAAAATTGTCCTTTTGACATATTGTTTTTAGGACACGAAGGTCCAAGTTTGTCGAATTTA